ACACACACACACACACACACACACACACACACACACACACACACACACAGAGAGAGAGAGGGAAAGACAGCTAGATCAAATTTTAAAGTAGCTATACCAAATTTACAAAACATATAGCAGTTGAAATTATTACTACTTTCGAGGGAGATGTTTTATTTACTTTAAGGCACTGTGCACAACTCCTGTTTTGGCACATTGCACAGTCCTATTACTTAGTATATTGCCTATTATATCCCATTGTTTATACAGCATTCTTTTGAATGTGTTATATATTAATTTTGTTGCATTTCAAATCCCGCCAAATATGTGTTGACTTTGAATGAAATAAAATACAAAATAGTTTCTTTTGAAGTTAATAAATTTGATTTGCATTCATATTTAAAGGCATGGAAAATTATAATTATAAATATTCATACTTAGAAATTTGTTCTATACTCATGTTGGCAAAAGGAAAAGGAAAGGGCAGCTAGCTTAGAGGTGTTATTTAAAGAAAATTGAGTATATATCATTGTGCATGACAAAACACAGAATCTGAACAAATAAGATGCTTTCCTCTGTTGAAAATAGCTGCTTGCATTTTTTTCATAATTATTTCACTTCCCATTTAGCAATTGGGACATTTGTGTTGTACATTTATATTGTAGGAAGACCACCCCTCCTCAGAATAAAATATTATTTATTCTTAATATTAAAAAGAGGCAGGATAGAATATTTCCCCAAAGGAGAAGAGGAGAAAAAAATTAATGAAGGTAGAAAACAGCCCCAATCTCCTTGCCATAGGAAAATGGCTGCAAGCAGAAACTTGAAGAGACTGGTCCACAGGAATGGAGATTTTGTATCTATTCAGAAAGACAGGGCCAATCTATTCATAAGCAAAGAGACTCCAAATAAGCAACATAATTAGGCAAGCCAAAGCTGACAAGATTAGCTCAGACAAACAGCTAGGACCGTGATAGCGAACCTATGGCTTAAAAAGGCCTCAAACCAGCCAAAAAATCATCTGTGAGGCACAGTGCAGGTAAGGGGGTGGCGGGGGGATTGCGCGTGCATGCGCAGGGGGCGTGGGGAGGGGGCCCATGCATTGCATTCTGGGTGCTGGCACGCAAGTGCATGCGCACTGGCGCCCACACAATTTTTGGCACAGAAGCCCAAAAAGGTTAGCCATCACTGACGTAGGATATGCATTTCCCTTTTGCCTGTAGAACCAACCATGACCCCTACATGACCCCATAGGAATCTGGCAACAGCCACTGAAATATTAAAGGACACATTCTTACACAAAAACAGACATCTCAATGACAAAGCCCCAAAGAATGTATAAAAACCCACCTACTCTCAACCCCATTTTGTCAGCCACCCAGAAACATGTTGCTGTCACTAGTTTCTGGCTACGAAATAAACAGATAATTTCTTTCCTCCAGCTTGCTTCCATTTTATTTCCAGCGTCTTTCTCTTGGCTTGGAACTGGATCAGATTTTTCTTCCAACAATATGATCCCTGGAAATATTCCTGTCTAGAATAGGAATCTCAGAGGAACAAACTGACAAGTCCTTTAGCACTCAAAACTAAGAGATCTTTAAATAGAGCTTCTTATATTTCTTCTATCTCTTCATCCCACTACATTACTTATGAGCATTGGTGGATCCAAAATTTAATCTGATTTTTTGGTAGCTGAATAATAATTGTATGGAAATCTGACACATTTAAATATTCAAGGCGTTCTTAAAATGAAAATATTACAGATGTGAAATATGACCAATTAACTGAATTTTAAGGTGAAGAAATGCAATTAACACACCTTATTAAATATGCATACATGCTTTTGGGCAGAAATCAACACAATACACAACCTAGAATATACCATAGTTACACTTAATAACAACTTTAGCAGTAGTGCCAAAAGATGCATAAAGAAAAAAAAAAGGATATTTATACCTTTCTTAAATGGAATAAAAAGATGACAATTTGAATGAAATTATATATCTATAAAATAATTGTCATTAAAGGTAAAGGAACTATGTCTTGTCATGCACCTAGTCTAATTTTAATCAATTCACTGACAACTAGCTAAAGCAGTCTTCATATAAAATGTGTAACTGCCATTTTTCACAAGACAGTAAATTCATTCCATTTGGCAGTGGGTTCCAGCCACAGACATGAAGTACATTTACATTTTCCCTAATATTAGGCTGTATTAGGCTGGTGTGTGGTAAAATTCAGAACATCCATAAGGTTAGGAGCTATGGAAGACTGGATTTCTATTAGAAACAATAGTTTCAGCTTTTTGCTTAATTAATAATTCACTGCTACAGAGTAGAGATTAAAGAATCTTACACAATTGTGCATTAGAATTCAAGATGCAAAAATTATATTTACAAGTATGAGTCACAACAATTACCTGACATAGGTAGTTTGTACTATGGAAATTACATGACAATAATCTTTCCCACAAATATTTAAAAGCTAGCAAACTCAAATGTTATAAAACCACTACAACAATATTTCGCAAACAATAAAAATATTTGCAGAATATTATTAATACAACAAAATAACATCTTATTCCTTGGTAACCTGTAACTATCTGGTAATTAATGATCAAGGTATCTCTTCTGCCAGGTAATTAGTCTCATTTACACTTTGAAGAAACACAGCTATTCAGTATGCAAAATTTTCAACACACATCCTGTACTTGCACCCATACCATGTAATAAATAAAGGATTTAATTTATTTAGATAGGCTCCTTAGTGTACCTTCAATGTGATTTTCCTTTTAGAATAGCAGATGTTAAAGTGTTTTAACTATTATGTTTACCTAAAACTCAATTACTAATGTCAGGTTTCACATTTTGATGGAATAATTAAATATTTACAATAATTAAATGTTTACTGTGGAAGCAGGAATTTTCTATTCAGGTACTTAACACTATTTGGGATTGTGATTTTTTATATATATTCCTTTTTCTTCTATTTATTTTGTTGCTGTCTGTGCTTTTTCATTTATTTTTTAAATAATCTTATCTGCTAGAGAACTCTATTGCTAGGTGGATTAAATAGACATACAATCATAACTGAGCCAATATTTGTCTTTTACTCTTTTTATATAATCAGGATTAAATAAGAAGAAAGAGCCATCTAAATAATTATGACTTGATCTAAACCTTTGAAACAGTTTTATGACACAGATCACTTACTAGATTAGTGGCTTCTAAATTTGATGTGCATAAAATGTGAATTTGGACGCAGATCACATATATTTGGTACTCAATATATAACAAACTTTAATGCGGATCATGTTATCATGTTTGGTATACTGGACACTGCCTTCTTTATACCACAATTATAGGAGGATTCCATTTGCTCAGTTTATATAAAGTATTTGCACATTTAGTTAGGTCTTTAATTGAAATTAAAGGGAATTAGAAATATTTTTAGTTTATATGCACCTTTATAAAATTATCAAAGGAAGACAGATATATTGAAGACACTGTAAAAATAGTTATAAATTATTAAAGGAAAATAGCTCCTTCATATTTGTTGCTTTCCTAATTGGTAGTACTCAACTAGCTGGACCAAGAAGAAAAGTCCTACACAATCTTAAGTATGCCTCCCAGACTAGTTGGACTAATAAGGGTGTATAAAACTGTTGCATTCCTTATAAATAAAATATTTGTTCTTCACTATGGGTATCCCCTAATATAAGGCAATATATTAGGGGATATATTATTATATTATAAATATAGGGCAATATATTTTAACAATTTAGGCATATGGAACAGGACAACACAGAAAACTTACAAAAAATACATTCCAAAATAAACTTTTCAGGTGTTTGGATTATTCAA